AAATACCATGATCTTGTTATTTTTTAGTGCTGAGTAATATTCCATTGTGTATAAATGCCACATTTTTTTAATCCATTCATCTATTGAAGGGCATCTAGGTTGGTTCCATATTCTAGCTATTGTGAATTGTGCTGCTATAAACATTGATGTGGCTGTGTCCCTGTAGTATGCTCTTTTTAGGTCTTTTTGGTATAGTCCGAGAAGGGGACTAGCTGGTCAAATGGTGGTTCCATTCCCAGTTTTCCAAGGAATCTCCATACTGCTTTCCAAATTGGCTGCACCAATTTGCAGTCCCACCAGCAATGTATGAGTATACCTTTTTCCCCCCTGCATCCTCGCCAGCACTTAATGTTGTTTGACTTCATAATGGCTGTCATTCTTATTGGAGTGAAATGGTATCTTAGAGTAGTTTTAATTTGCATTTCTCTGACTGCTAGAGATGGTAAGCATTTTTTCATGTATTTGTTGATTGATTGTATATCCTCTTCTGAGAAGTTTCTGTTCAAGTCCTTGGCCCATTTGTTGATTGGGTTATTTGCTTTTTTGTTGTTTAACTTTTTGAGTTCTTTGTATACTCTAGAGATTAGAACTCTATCTGATGTTTGAGGGGTAAAAATTTGTTCCCAGGATGTAGGCTCGCATATTATTTCTCTTGCTGAGAAAAAAACTTTTTAGTTTGAATTCGTCCCATTCGTTGATTCTTGGTTTTAACTGGCAAGACCCATTTTTGTAAATTCAGTAGCTGTATAGTATGCTTTGATTTCAAGTAGTATATGTCTCTAAATTTGACTCGTTTTCAGTATCTTTTGAATGATTCAGGTTATTTACATTTTCAGGTAACTTTTAGAATCAGCTTATTCAATTCAACAAAGTACTCTGCTAGAATTTTCAATGGAATTTGTTCATTGAATCTGTAGATTAATTTGGGGGGATTTGTGCATGATTTTATTGAATCTTACCATATGTGGACATGGAAACTCTATTATTTAGGTCTTATTTTATTCCTTTCAACAACATTTTTGTATTTTTCAGTAAACTGTTCAATTTTCACTGCAAATACAAACACAGACACAAAGCATAATGGCATGGCAAGAATGTAGATAAAAGGGAACCTTTGTACAATGTTGGTAGGAATGTACAATTAGTACAGAAAACAGTATATAGCTTCCTTTAAACTATTATATGATCCAGCAATCTCATTAATGGGTTTATATTAAAGGGAAATGAAATCAGTATATCAAAGAAACATCTGCATTCTTATGTTTTTTGCAATGCTATTCACAATAGCCCCAAAATGGAAAATCTAAGTGTCCATCAGCTGATGAATGGATAAAGAAAATGTGGTGTGGGGCTGGGGCTGTGGCTTAGTGGTAGAGCACTTACCTAACGTGTGCGAGGCCCTGGGTTCAATCCTCAGCACCACATAAAAATAAAAATAAAACAAAGGTATAAAAAAAATCACATCAATCTTAAAAAAATGTGTATGTACACAGTAAAATACTATTCAGCTATGAGAAAGGATGAAATCCTATTATTTGTGATAGCATGGATAGTACTGGAGGACATTAAGTAAAATAAGTGAGGCCCAGAAAGACAAGTACTATGTGATCTCACACATGGAGTACAGAAAAGTTGATCTCGCCAAAATTGAGGGTAGAATAGTGGCTACCAGAGGCTGAGGCGAGTAGGGGAGAAGGAGGGATGAGGAAAGTTTGGCCAATGGTTCTTAAGTTACTTAGAACATCAGGAGAAAGAAGTCCTGATGTTCTATTTCACAGTAGGGTGAATATATATAACAATAATTTATTTCCTATATGAAAAAGCTAAAAGTGAGGATTTTGAATGTTTTCCCCACAAAGAAATGAGAAATGTTTGAAGAGATAGATATGCTTACCCTGATTTGAATATTAAACAAATCATACACATATAGAGACATCACATAGGATCCCATAAATATGTGTAATTTTTATGAAAATAATCAAGGTTTATAGCAGCTTAACTCACAATAGCTAAACTACAGAACCAACCTAGGGGCCCTTCAACAGATGAATGGATAAAGAAATTGTGGTATATATACACAATGGAATATTATTCGGCCTTAAGAAGGATGAAATTATGGCATTAGCCGGTAAGTGGATGAAGCAGAAAATATCATGCTAAGCGAAATAAGCCAATCCCCCAAAATAGAAAGGCCAAATGTTTTCTCTGATATCTGGATGCTAATTCACAGTAAGAGGGGGTGCGCTAGGGAAGAATAGAGGTACCTTGAATTAGGCAGAGGGAAATGAAGGGAGGGGAGGGGGTATGGGGGTGCAAAGGATAGTGCAATGAATCGGACATAATTACTTTATGTACATACATGATTACATGACCAGTGTTATTTTAACATCATGTACAACCAGAAAAATGAGAAGTTATAGTTCATTTATGCATGATGTATCAAAATGCATTCCACTGTCATGTATAATTAGAACAAATAAAAAAGTTAAAATAATGAAATAATAATAATAAAGAAACATAATGGCTTCTAGACTGATGAGACTTGACTAAAACTTGATGACAATTTTGATATACTTAAAGAAAGAATGTGTCAGTGAGCCATGGAATTGTTGATAAGGCAGAGTCAGTGAAACCAGAATGGAAGAGCACACTGGTCAGCTACTTAATCTTTATATGCCTTAGTTTTTTCACCTCTAAAATGGCTTAAATAATAGTACACTTAATAGGGTCATTGTATAAAACAAAACAGTACCTGGTATGTAATGAGACTTACATATTACTAGAGGGAGGAAATGTAATGGTCAGGTCAGTGTAAACTGTGCCATAGTTCTTTCTATTTCTCATCAACCAGTATCCTGGTCTACACGCATCAAGTTGTTATGAAGTAGTCAGCATGAGTCAGCCTCTTGAGTCTGACCAGTTCTGGAACTCTGAGTAGATCAAGTTTCTCAGACTGTAAGACTGAAGGTCCAAACTGAACTGAGGTTGAAAGCATCAAGACAATGAAATCTAACAAGATCCCTGATAGCCAGCCAGCTGCCTTTTTTAGTGACACCCCACTTCTGGCATAATCTATTCATACTTCTAAACAAACAACTTGGGGGCAGGTCTATGCAGAAGGAATAAAAAGACTAGAAAAAGTTCCTTAAAATATTAATAGGTGGTGTGCAAAGGAATTATGGATGATTTTTAATATCTTCTTTGCTTTACTTTTTTTTTACCTTTTATTTTGTTTAATTAATTTGTTTATGTGGTGCTGAGGATCGAACCCAGTGCCTCACGCATGCCAGGCAAGCACTCTACCTCTGTGCCACAACCCCAGCCCCTTTGCTTTACTTTTTGTACGCTCCTATTTTTCTTTAGTGAGCAGGTATTACTTTAATATTTTGTAAGCATGATTAAATGATGAGGAGGAGAAGAAAAAAGAGTAGGTGCTTGAAGGGGGCAAGAGTAGAAAAGGATTCTGGGGCCCCAGACTGAGGGGAGGATGTCAGGGAGTTGGGGGCATTTCAGGGATGATCTTTCATCCAATATGTACTTGCTATTCCTGTGCACTGGAGACTTGAAGTGGTGCCTTACAGGCCAGTCATTCCATTTGCGTAGGTAGTGAATGTAATGGAAAATATTTGCCTGAGAATTCCGTGTCACTGTATCTAATTGTATCACTGACTGACTGGCTGCTTAATATGAAGTACCAGATCTAAGGGGTCTTGTTTGTTTGTTTTGTTTTTGGTACTGGGGATTGAATCCAGGGGCGCTTAACCACTGAACCACATCCTCAGACCCCCCTCCTTTATATATATATTTTTAAAATTTAAGAGACAAGGTCTCACTAAGTTGCTTAGGGCCTCGCTAAATTGCTGAGGCTGGCTTTGAACTTGTGATCTCCCTGTCTCAGCCTCCTGAGCTGCTGGGATTACAGGCATGTGCCTCCACTCCAGGCCCAGATCTGAGTTTTTGAGTCTTCCCTCCTTCTTCAGTATCCTTATCAAATATTTGCTGGTTTCTTTTCAAATTTCCTGGCTATACGCTAAATTGGACAGGGGAGAGGTGGTGTTGACAGTAGAAAAGAGGGAATTTATAAGGAGAAAGCAAAGTTGAGGAAATGAAAAGAAAATGCAAAATCACTGTGGCCTGGGGGCGGTGACTAGGGAAGGTTTAGAATTTGCAAGGTCAGTCATTCTAAATCTTTTACCCTGGGATTGAGAGAGCAGGTGGTACTTAAGCTGAGCCTGGAGAGGCAAGTAGGGTTTGGATCAGCAGGGAGCAAGGGGTGGGGGTGGGAACAGTAGAAAGAGGAAGCAAAGTCTCCGGGGCCCCTGCTGCCTGAAGGGTTGTGAACGAATCCCCAGAAGCCAGTAATCTGCGTTACCTGCAGGCTTCTTTCCCAGCCTCTCTCTCCCCCTTTATTTTCAGCTGAGTCTTTGTTGCTTCAGCCTTGTGACCTACGTGGGCAGTGGGGCCACCAAAGCAGTTATATGATCTCCAGCCCAGTCCTGCCAAGGCCGCCCTATGGCGCTGCTCCTTCCCATCCCGATTCCCTGCCTGTGGCATTCGCTTCCTCCCAGCGCACCACTGACGCCTCCTTTGCCAAATTCGCAGACTCCCCGTTTTTTTAAGAAATGAAGTATCTTAGGGAGTTCTTTCTTGTTTGGTTTCAGTTGGAGTGCGGAGTTCAGTCTGAACCTTTGGTAAAAATCTAAGATACAATAAAGACCCGGAAATCCAATTCTTTAGACCTTGAGCGCAAACGTGTCTTTCAGTTTTGAAGTTCCTAAACCTATCCTGCAGAAGAAAGAAAAAAACAGCCTCCTCAACATCCTGTGTGCACAGCAAGTGTGTTAAATTAAAATAGTCACTTGTAGGGTTTCGAAAATAAACCTGAGAGAGCACATTGCCTACTATGGCACATTCTCCGCCGCGGGGCTGGCGGCCTAGCCCTGGGGCTGCAGCGCGCAGCTGCCAGGACCCGCAGCACCCGCCCCGCCTCCGGCTCGCGTCTCCAGCAAAGCGTAGGCGGCGCCGTGGCCAGCGACCTGCTGTCTGTGACCGCGCTGGAGGCTCAGGGCCGCCGAGGTCTCCAGGAATTGGGTGGAGGATGCCAGAGCCACGCGCGGAGGCCACACGGGACTAGGGTGGTAGCGAGCGTCCTCTGGGAAGTTGTGGCGGAGCTGTAGATTGCGGAGGTTTGACTGGCCTTGGCGTGTCGTGGGCTCTGGAGGCCGCCGGACCCCGGAGTGCTACACCGGACCGGCCGGCCCCAGGCCGGAGCGGTGGGAAGGCTCTGCCCGGCCTGGCACTCGTGCTTCCCACAGCGAGGGTGCATCAGCGTTGGAGCCTCCTTCGTTAGTGGTCAGCAGCACTCCAGTCTTTCTCTGAGGGGATTCGAAACGTGGCGCGATGAGGAGCCGGAGTAACTCGGGGGTCCAGCTGGACGGCTATGCTCGACTGGTGCATCAGACCATCCTATGCCATCAGGTAAGTGTGGGGGTGTCTCCTACACATACTACTACACTACTCCTGGGATCACCGAGCATGTGGAGTGTGATAGACCAGAGACCCGGGGTGAACCTTCGTATGCGTATATGTGTGTATCTTTAGCAGGTTCTCCTGACCCCTAGCTGGGAAGGCCAAAAAAGGACCCTTAAGGAAAGGTACGTGTTGGGCCTGGAACAGAACCAGAGTCAGGCACCCATAGCCAGGACCCCCTCTGCCCCCTCCCCCATGATGATTTCAGAGCCCTGCACCCCCAAGCCACAGCTGGGATCCAGGAGTAGAGTTGCAAGATGTGTTGGTGCTTGTTTATTGATGCCCCCTATCCCGGGTTTGGGCCTCACTTCCTTCCCTTCTACCCTACCACCCCCGTCAGAAAAGAGATAGGGAACATTTAGCCTTTTTAGGACTAGAATATTGTGAAGGTCAAGGCACTTTGTGTGTATGTTTACTTTTAGTTGTATTTTTTCTACTTCTGTAATTACTACTGTTTTTTTTGTTGGTGATAGTTAATTCTTTCAAACTAGAAAAGTTAAAACTTTTAATAATGCCCTTTAATAATGCATTTAATGATGCTTTTAATAAATTTATTGATATTATTTAAGTACTTTAACAATAACCTCATTTCAGGCTTGTAAGTAAGTCAGTTCTTTCCCCATACTCAAGATAGCATTTGGAAATAGTGCAAACTTTCCATTACAAGATGACTATATTCTGGGGAGCTAATGAACAGCAGCATGATAACTGGAGTTATTAATACTTTATACTTGAAATGTGCTAAGAGAGTAAATCTTCAGTATTCTCACCACACCAAAGAAAGATAACTAAGTGAGGTGATGTATGTAGTAATTTAACTTGATTGTGGTAATATGTGAATCCAGATATCAAATCATCCTGTTGTACATAGTAAATATATACAATTTTTATTGTTAATTATAACTCAATAAAGATGGGGTGGGGAGAGATAGCATTTGTCTGCAATAGTCAGAAGACGTTTCAAAACTTGAATGGGGAAATAGGAGAAAGATAAAAAATACCCAATAATTCATTCCCTAATTTTGTTCCCTAATATGAACACCTACCTGCCCTCTTTTTCTTGGTCTTACAGAATCCAGTGACTGGCTTGCTTCCAGCCAGCTATGATCAGAAAGATGCTTGGGTCCGAGATAATGTATATAGCATCCTGGCTGTGTGGGGTTTGGGCCTGGCCTATCGGAAGAATGCAGACCGAGATGAGGATAAGGCAAAGGCATATGAACTGGAGCAGGTACGGGAAACAAAAATACAAAGCAATCCAAAGCTGTATATGGTTGGGTGAGGGAGAGCAAGGATTGAAGAAAATGTAGCCCTTTCTTCACATCCTTGAAATTACATTCCAAAAAGTTTTCCTATATTGTACTAAACTGTTTCTTGGCAGTGGAGACTTGACACTTGTTGATTCAGGGGACGAGGGCACAGTCTGTTCTATTACCATGGAAAATCCTACCCTGGGATCTTAAAATTAATAATCTTCTTTCTAAGTAAATGTATTTTGCAATTTCCACCATTTTATTCTCATGGACAAGAATGTTTGGGGGCAGATATCTAGTACTTTACTTCATTTTTGAAAAGTATTGGTGGTATTTGTATGAGGGTATCTGACACAGATCAGTAGACTTTTTGTACTAAACACAAGTAGACTATTTGTTGATTTTTTTATAAAAAAATCTGTGGCCTGCTACCTCCCTGCCCCCCACCCCCAGGGACAAAATGAGGTCAGAGCCAGCAAACGCTTTTATGCCAACTTTTAAGGTACTTCCTCACAGTAAATTAGCATCCTTTTATAGAACAATTTATACACTCGGGGAAGTGCATCCTCTTGAATGACCAAAAAAACAGTAATCTGGGCTACAGGAAACTTTTTTTTAATCCCTTTATTTTATTTATTTTTATACGATGCTGAGGATTGAACCCAGCACTTTGTGCTGCTAGGCAAGCACTTTACCACTGAGCCACAACCCCAGCCCTACAGCAAACTTTTAATGTTGAGGTCCTCTGCTGTCAGTTGTAAGATATAGTGAGGTTCTTTCTACACCAACCATTTTTTACTATGGTCTCCCTCAGATTTAGGCAATCTGAGCTTAAGTATTCATTTATAAATCAGAATATTGATATTTGTTTTTTTTAAGAGCACCAACATATCATGGAGTTGCAATTCTCGGCAATAAGAAAAGTCTCACTGTTGTCCTCAGCAACAGCAGGCATTTGTTATTCCTTCAAGCCACTATTGAAAGATACTTACATCTGTGCCCCCAAAAGTTAGTTTTTGCTGTAGCTCAGGAGGTACAGATCAATATTTCTATGACCTTTATAGAATTAATACCATTATGGACATTTGGAAAATACAGGAGAGTATTTTAAAAAAATCACATGCAAATTACCCTACCTCAAATCTTATATCCTATTCTGAATATTTGCTATTTTTTTAAGAGAGGAGAGAGAGAGTATTTTTAATATTTATTTCTTAGTTTTCGGCGGAATAACATCTTTGTTTGTATGTGGTGCTGAGGATCGAACCCAGGCTGCACGCATGCTAGGCGAGCACGCTACCGCTTGAGCCACATCCCCAATCTGAATATTTGCTATTTTGATTGCAATACTTTGTTTCTTTATTGTTTTGTTTTGCTAGAAATTAATATGAGCAGAACTGAAATGACATGCCTGGTACAATTTGACCAACTCTTTTCAATGCTTTAAAAAAAGAGATGTGTTTTCTCTATGTTGAACAATCATTATGCAGAGTTAACATTTATCCTTACTGGGCCCAAGTAGAAAGAATTTTACAGAGGAAGAGAGGAAAAGTAGGGAAACATTAAATTGCCCATTCTGAAATTTTCATGATCCATTCTGTAACTTTTTAGAGTTTTATTAATGTATTATAGTTATACGTAATAGTAGGGTTCATTGTTACATTCATATATGCAAATAACATAATTTGTTCCATTTAATTAGCCAGTACTTCCCTCCCCACATTATGTAACTTTTCACATAGCTGAAAATATTTTTCACATCACCCCAATAATAACTTTAGAATGTTTCAAAAAATTATGGAAATAGGAAGCAAATTAAAAACAGAGTTTCTGTGGGAATTCTAGAATTATTTTCTTTCTTTCTTTCTTTTTTGGTACCAGGGATTAAACTCAGGGACACTAGACCACTGAGCCACATCCCCAGCCCTATTTTGTATCTTATTTAGAAATATGGTCTCACTGAGTTGCTTAGGGCCTCACTAAGTTGCTGGGGCTGGCTTTTAACTTCCAATCCTCTGGCCTCAGCCTCCCAAACTTCTGGGATTACAGGCGTGTGCCACTGCACCTGGCAGAATTCTAAAATTTCTATGAATTTACATTGTAGATCAAAACAGATTTTATTATTATAATATCATTATGTTTTTTTCAAACTTGATTCAGCATTAATCTAGACCATCTCTGTAGAATCACAGATAGCAAACATTTTCAGCATTATAGGTCACTTATTGTTGGATTAACTCAACTGTGTATTTTAACACAAAAGAGCCAGAGATCATATACAAACAATGAACATGGTTATGTTCTAATAACATTTTATTTACAAAACTAGCTATGGGTTGGATTTGTCCTTGATCTAGATGAGTGGTTCTGAACTTTGAATATACATTGGAATTATTTGGGAAGCTTTTTGGAAATACTTTTACTAGATCCCATCTTAGAACAATTTTTTTAAAAACTCTGTAAATAGAGATTACAGACATCAAATTTTTAAATCACCCAGGCAATTCTAATGTATAGACAGATCTAATGTAGATAAATCAGATAATGACTTTACTATGGGCAATAAATAAACATAAATTAAATCCAATAAATCCATAGATTAAATTCCCACCTAATGCCAACTTTTTGTTATGGTGTGGATTTTACCAAAATAATGATTGTTAACCATTTATGCCATTCTGACTCTCACCTTGGTTTTTTTCTGATAAATAATGTCAAGAACTGAAGAGAATTCTAAGAAAAGTGTTTAAGCAACTTCCATATTCTAGATTGAGAATAGAATTATGGACTTCCATGTTATTTGTTGTTGTTTTTTGTGCTGGGAATTGAACCTAGCTGCTCTTAACCACTGAGCCACATCCCCAGCCCTCTTTATTTTTATTTATTTAAAAATTCTTTTAGTTGTTGATGGTCCTTTATTTTATTTATTTTTATGTGGTGCTGAGGATTGAACCCAGTGCCTCACACATGCTAGGCAAGTGCTCTACCACTGAGCCACAACCCACGCCCCCCCTTTATTTTTAATTTGAGACGTGGTCTCATTAAGATTGTTAAGACCTTGATGAACTGTTGAGGCTGGCTTTCAACTTGTGGTCCTCCTGCCTCAGCCTCTGGAGTCACTGGAAATACAGATGTGCACCACCATGTCTGGTGGACATGTATATTTTTACAAATGTCCCTTTCTCTTGGCACATAGATAACTTTATAGCCATAAAAATCATATAAATAAAGGTTTCTATTTGGTTGCCTCAAGGTTTCTGTTCTTTGTGAAGTCTCTTTATCTTTTTTCTCGAGTCATTAACACTCACCTTTATGACAATCACTTCTAAATCTTCATCTTTAACTCTGACCTCCCTTTAATTTCAAGCCCCCCTTTTCAATTATCTGCTCATTATTTTTGCCTGTATATCTTGTGGCTCCTTAAACTGAATGTGTCCAAAATCTCACCTTCCCCACTAAAACCAAAGAAAATAAAATAGCAAGCAATAGCACCTCACCAAAACTCCCTTTTTCTCTTAATAGTGTCTTCATTTTGCCAATCAACCTGGCAGCATTATTTGGAGTATTTCTCATAGTATGTTCCATTGAATACTAGGCCAACTAACTAAGGTTGAGGCTATGTTAAAAAGTAGGTTTCTATACTCCTTAATTTCTCAGAGCCTTTGATGTACTTATGTGTGTTTTCAATCTAAGGTGGTAGTGAAATTTATAGTCTTTCTAGAATTTCTTGGACTAATGTTCTATAATACAGTGCTTAATAAGTATTTCCTGTAAGGTGATTTTTTATTTGTTCTTTCCAGATATACATGACAGTAGAGTGTATTTTGTCATATTATATGTACATGGAGTATAACTTTTGCTACTTACGATCCCATTCTTGTGGTTGTACATAATATGTAGTTTCACTGGTGGTATATTCATATATAAACACAGGAATGTTATGTCCAATTCATTCTACTGTCTTTCCTATTCCCATCCCCCTTTGTCTAATACACTGAATTTCCATTCTTCCCTCTGCTTATGGTGTGTTAGCATCTGCATATCAGAGACAATATTCAGCCTTTGGTTTTATGGGATTGGCTTATTTCATTTAGCATGATAGTCTTCAGATCCATCCATTTACTGTCAAAAGTCATGAAATTATTCTTTTTATGACTAATATTCCAGATATGCCACATTTTTTTTTTATCCATTCATCTGTTGAAGATACGGTATTTAGGTTGGTTCCATAGTTTAGCTATTGTGAGTTGAGCTGCTATAAACATTGATATGGCTGCATTAATACAGTATGCTGATTTTAAGTCCTTTGGGTGTATACTGATGAATGGGAAATGGTGACTTCATTCCTAGTTTTCTGAAGAATCTCCATATTGCTTTCCAGAGTGGCTGCACCAATTTGCAGTCCCATCAACAAGGTATGAGTGAAATTTTATCCCCACATCCTCGCCAACAATTATTGCTACTTGTATTCTTGATAATTGCCATTCTGACTGGAGTGAGATGAATTCTCAGTGTAGTTTTAATTTGCATTTCTCTAATATGTAGAGATGTTGAACATTTTTTCATATATTTCTTGACCGTTTGCATTTCTTCTGTGAAGTGCCTGCTCAGTTCCTGTAGGGTGATTTTTGAGTTGTTGCTCTTGCTTGTTTGATACATGCAAATGAAAGATAGTTGATTCTTTCAATTTCTCTATAGAGTCCATTCTCTTTCCTTTCTGCTTTAACCCTAACCTAAACCCTTATTACCTAATAGTGTTGTGAAAACCATATTTACATTATGCTATTTCCATCCTTAACAGTCCTTCTGTAACTCTTTTTTTTTTCCCTACAAGTAAAGTCCAAGTTGTCTTGGCTGGTCTTGAACCTGTGTACCTCCTGCCTCAGCCTCCCAATTAGCTGGGATTACAGGCATGTACCATCATGCCCAGCTAGTAGATTAGTTTTCAGAGATGTCCTGAAGCCACCTCTGAGCCAGCATTCTCTGAGGTAACCTGGTTCAATTTCTTCTGGACTGCAAACCATAAAACTTCTTAGAGAAATGGAGAAGCTGTTCAGTGCTGTGTTCTAAAACATATTGCCTACCCATGCTGCTACTCATGGGCCCTTCTTATTTCATGTAGTATACAGTTGTTGACAGAATTTAGGGATGTTGTGATTGGAAAACAAACCATTTTAGAAATTGTCAAGGTTTAGTAAGAGATACTGATGATGAGGAGTTCATAGCCAGTCACAGTGGCACATGCCTATGGCAGGAAGATCACAAGTTTGAGGTTCAGCATGAGCAACTTAGTGAGACCCAGTCTCAAAATTTAAAAATGCTGGGAATGTAGCTCAGTAGCAGAGCACCCCTGGGTTCAATCCTCAGTACCACACTCCCCCCACCAAAAGAGGACTTAAGAAGTCTATGACTTTTTTTTTTCATGGAGAAGGAGTTGAGTCATACTAACAATTTCCCTTTATGCTTACTCTGAATTACAATTCATTTACTTTTTTAGGTAACATGTTCAGATAAACATTTCTATAGAATTTTTAAGTTTTGGCTGGTTTAGGAAAGTCATGTCGTGTGAAGCCTTTCTAGGTTATAAGATGTTTTAGAATATCTCCAGAGCTCTATGATTTATTTTTAGTTGACTTGCCTCTTTCTCCAGGTGGAAGGAATGTCCTCTACTAGGATAGTTGACTTACTTTTACATAAATCTGTCATAGCATAGACTATTATTTTTTAACTTGAAGGCATCAGAAACTGTAGCTTTTGATTCCATTTTTAGCTGCAATCTGCCTTTCTGTGTACCTATAAAGTAAATGCCATGTGAATAGGAACCCAGGATAGGGTTACTTGTTCTCAAAAGGTCATGTACCAACTGCAGTTGCTGAGCAAGTGTTTTTCTCATCTAGGCATGTTTATAACAGTCTTGTTTCCATTTATTTCTGCAGAGTGTAGTGAAGCTGATGAGGGGACTGCTGCACTGCATGATCAGACAGGTATGAAGTTGCGAACAACTTGCTCTCTAATAAAAGCACATTGTAACAATATCTCTACCCCTTAGGGAAATGCATATGGCTTTTTTTTTCAACTTCACAAGTAGTATACTCTAATTTTAGAAAATTTGGAAAATCAATGAGAAAATGTCGACAATCAATGAGAAAATGTCATCCGTAATCCCACCACCAGACTCCCTCCAAGATATTTCATTCCAATCTTTTTTTTTCTCCCTTCTACAAGGGATTTTTAAAAATGTGTCCCATCATTACCGTTCATGCAATTACATATACTGGGTAGAAGATGTATAAGCCTAAAATCCCTCATCTGAAACTCTTGGGGCCCTATCAATTTTAGAGTTAAGATTTTTTTCAGATCTTTAAAAGGTAGTGCAATACATATACCATATATTTATTTTATGCCTTCAGTGGATTCAGGACAGCACTGTTTAATCAAAAACTTATCTCTGAAGGGAAAAATGCCTTTTCACATCAATTGGAATAAAGTCCAAAAATAGCTTTATGTCAGTCTGAACCTGGTGTTGCCACCAAATGAACTTTGATGCAAAACTTAAGTGAGATAGCTTTTCAAAGTGTTTTAGATTTTAGGAATGGATATAAAGAATTTTGGAATTCAATAATTTATAATTCCTGACCTTGAGTGAAGTTGAACATCCTTTCATGTTCAGATGGAAAATTTGCAATTCCTTCCCTATAGGTCCTTTGCCTATCTTTCTTTTAGATTGCCTCTTTCTTGCCTAATGAGGAGTTTTTGTACATTATGGACATCCTTTGTCACATGCATTGCAAACATTTTAACAATCTACTATTTGTCTTTTGAGTTTATGATATTTTCTTTGTACAAAAGTATACTTTACTTAAAAATTGTTTCATTTTAGATCTTAAAAATGTTGCAGACATTGAACCTGACTTAATTTTCTGAAGATCAAAGTTATGTTTCATTAGAAGAATAATGGAGATCTAGATGGATAAAGTAATTGCTCGTAGACACACAACAAATCTAAAGTACAAAGAAATTTATTCCAGATTTCTGAACTTTCTTTTCAGTACTCTGTTTATTGGATAGTTATTATTTTCTCTTTCCCTATCTTTACTACTGTTTTTAAAATATGGACACAATATTTTATTTATTTTTATGTGGTGCGAGGATCAAACCTAGTGCCTCACACATACAAGGCAAGTGCTCTACTGCTGAGCCACAACCCTGACCCCTCTTTACACTTTTTTATACTTTAAATATTTTAACTTTCTACTCTAATAAATAGTTTTAATGTCTCTAATTTCCAAACCATATTTAAGGTATAATAAGTAGTATCATATGTCAGAAGCATAAATATTCAAATCTAAGTTTCAAGAACTAAGTCTTTCAGTGTTTTGCCCAGTGTTTTTCATCTGAACTTTGTGTGTGTGTGTGTGTGTGGGGGCGATTGTGAGCTTGGAGTGAACCCAGGGTCTCATGTATGCTAATCACATACTCTACCACTGAACTACCTCCCTGATCCCCATGTTTCCCTTCTGATCTCTAGTTTCAGCTTCTGTCATACCTGTCACTCTTTCTCTGACCAGTTCTTTTCATTACTACTTCAAAACATGTCCCCTTGACCTATTTTTCCTCAAAATTAATACCCTCCCACTTCTGCACACCAGGTATCCCATCAGGAACAAATGTGTAAACTGAGTTCTCTCTTACTAAGCTGTTCTTAATCAGAACATTTTGAATATCATTTATATCTATAATATAGCAAAGCAACTATCTGAAGAGTGAGAGGCAGTGAACAGGAAATAGGTGTTTTTGACTATTTGGCATTGTTTTCTAAATTGCCTAAAATTGAAAAATTAAATTGCCTAAATTGAAAAATAACAATAATGGACTTCCCCAATTATGGAAAAAGAAGTAATAGTGTATTTTAAATATTCATAATTGCCCAAAGACTGAGTACAATAATGTATGTTAGAGTATTACAGAAGTGTGACATATAGGTTCATTTTTATGAATATCCTTTTACTGTTTTTGTTTTATTTCAGGTGGATAAAGTAGAGTCCTTCAAGTATAGTCAGAGTACTAAGGATAGCCTTCATGCCAAGTACAATACCAAAACCTGTGCTACTGTAGTGGGTGATGACCAGTGGGGACACCTGCAGTTGGATGCTACCTCTGTATACCTGCTCTTCTTAGCACAAATGACTGCCTCAGGTCAGTACAAGGAGAGAAGTAGTGTAACTCCCTGAGCTTGGAGCACTTGCTCTGGCACACTTGGCTTCTCCAAAGGTATTGACCAAAAAAATAATAGCTGTTGACATTGCCCAAAGAAGCATATTGGAAACAAATGACAGTTTGCAAATTTTATACAGATTCTTTGAGGACTAGTTAATGTTTTATTATATTGAGATACAATAAGTCTGGGGTATTAATTAATATTCTTTTAAAATGAGAACCAAGAAGTTTGAGGTAGATCTTCTTTAGATAGGTACTTTTATTATTTATTAATTCTTAGATACCAGGAAATGGAAAGGAAGGGCTAGGTTTATTTATTGTTCTCATATTGTATGGATAAGCACCTACTGTACATACTCTTTATGAATGTTATGAAGTACATCTATCTTTAGGGATCTGCTTTATATTTACAAAATTGCCTTAGGGATCAGAATCCATTTTTTATTGAATTATACACTCTTTTCAGGTGATTTTGCTGTTATATTTAGCTACTTGACCTGGAAATGGAAAATGTAATAAATAATATAATTCCCTTAATTTATCCTACATTGGGAGGAGCAAGGAATCTCATTATATCAAGTATATGAATTTAATGAGACATTTGACAGATGATAGTGAGTCAGTTAATGTACTTCTCACAATACCATATTTTTGTATGTGTGGTGTGTGGGATGGAACTAAGAGCCCTGCAGGTACTAAGCAAGCACTGAACTATAACCCTAGAAATACCACATTTTTGACATTTCTTCTTATCTGATTACAGAGATCTCTAATACTAAGGTCATCCAAGGTAGGAATGCCCTCAGAATTCTTTTCTCCTTTTCTTGCAGAAACACATCTCTGGTGATAAACCCTTCTTCTTTTACTCTAGAACATATATCCCAGAGCCTGATTAAACTTTTCTCAAAATTATGAATTTGTTACCCACATAGTCTATCCTTTTGGAGGGAAATTTTTTCTTGGATAAATATAAAATTTTTAGGTTTTTGTTGTTGTTGTTACTGAGATTGCACTCAGGGACACCTGACCACTGAGCCACATCCCTAACCCTACTTTTGTATTTTATTTAGAGACAGGGTCTCAATGAGTTGCTTAGTGCCTCACTTTTGCTGAGGCTGGCTTTGAATTTGTTATCCTCCTGACTCAGCTTCCTGAGCCTCTGGGATAATAGGCATGCACCACTGCATCCAGCTAGTTTTATTTCTTTTAATAGAGAGGCTATAATTTCTATTTTTATATTTATTTTTTTAATTTGGTACTGGAGATTTAACCCAGGGGTGCTATTCCACTAACTACATCTCCAGCAGTTTTTATTATTTATTTTGAGACAGGGTTTCACTAAATTGTTTAGAAAGTCACTAAATTGCTGAGGCTGGCTTTGAATTTGTGATCCTCCTGCCTCAGCCTCCCCAGGGGCTGTGATAACAAGTGTGTACCCCCATGCCCAGCTCTAGTATTATTTTAATACCAACTCTGGAGTTATATTTTGTTTTGTTGTTTTTTGCAAAGCAAACAGGTGGTTTTTCTTTTTTTCTTTTTTTTTTTTTTCTGGTACCAGGGATTGAACTCAGGGACACTCCGCCACTGAGCCACATCCCCAGACCTATTTTGTATTTTATTTAGAGATAGGGTCTCACTGAATTGCTTAGTGCCTCTGTAAGTTACTGAGGCTGGCTTTGAACTCATGATCCTCCTGCCTCAGCCTCCAGAGCCACTGGGATTACAGGCATGCACCACTGCACCCAGCTGTGGTTTTTCATTTTGAGCTCAGAATAAAAACAGAAACATACTGAAAAGGGTTATAAGAATGTTTGTTGATTCCTGGTTTAACATTTGATTTTCAATGCACTCAGCTCACTTGATAGATTCTTGGAATAAGGTGGATGTTATTTGATCAGGTCTTTGATAAATAAATAGGAGTAAGAAATTCACAAGTAAAGGAATAGTATGAGTACCACATAGAAATTTGAAAGGTTCAGGCCATCAAAGTAAGGCTAGGTCTGTTCTATGTTTAGGGTATAAGTCATGTCTGGAAAATGACAAAATATGAAGCTAGAAAGTTGGGCCTAGCTATCTGAGGACAGGTAAATAGTTCTGACTTTAGTCTGCAATCAGTGGAAAAACATTCAATATAGATAAAGGAAGTTTCAAATGATTCACTCTAGTAGCAAGAAGGATAGATTGGGTTGGGGAATAAAATTAAGATGGAAAGCTTGAGAGGAAGTTAGTGAAATACTTTTAGCAAGAAGTGATTACAGAACCTTTGTTAGGCAGTTGCCTTGAAAATGGAAAGTGCTTAAGTGAGATATAATTGGTAGAGTATGAAAGTTCTTCATAGACTATTTAGTAATACTATGCATGTTTCTGAATACTTAATCTGAACCTTGGTTAAGACAGACTTAGAATCTGACTGCAACTTACATAATGGTAGTATAAAGAGTTTCATGGATCTTCCCCCAGCAAAGCAATCACAAATGCTAAAAATTATTTTCAGAAAACTAACCCTTTTAAGTCACTGGAAATTGTCCAAAGGACATAGAACAAGTGGAGAAACACTCCAGCAAACGTCCTAAATCTTGGTAAAAGCAGTGAGGAACTGTGGCTTCTGAGTCTCAATCTACTCCCTCCTCCACTCCAAATCAGCATGACAGAATTATTATTCAAGGTAGGTATAGCCAAAATCCAAATCCTCCTCTACCCTCAGCTCCAGATCAGTGCTACTGTATGTCTTTGAGAGGTAGATTGCCATAATTTCTCATCCTCCTCACTCATGTTTTAGAAGCTCTAGTCCAAGCAGTGTCCTTGTTTAGAAGTCTGGAGCTCACCTCCTCTTCACTCCTAGCCCCTTGTAGAATGGAATCTTTTCCCTAGGCAGGGTAAGGGGAGAATACTAATCTCTGATTGCCTTCAGTCCACCTCTCTATTAGGACAGATGTTTAATACTGGGAGAGAAAAGCTGAGAATCTCATAGGCTACCACTCGTGCTTAGTACTCAGTTTGTAAAGAAGAAATATCACTCCAAAAGGTATGGACTACTGTTCTCACCAACAGTTCTGGACCACTGGCTTAGGGGGAAAGGCAAACTGTAAGTACCAAACATCTTAGCTCTTCCAAAGAGAACTGACTTTTTTGGAACAAGTGTGAGAAAGTTCAAGCCTAAGGGTGATTTCAAAAAACAATGTAGAATTTGGTTCTAAGCAATAGAGAAGACTAGTTGCTCATTAAGAGTAATAAGCTAAACCAAAGAGTAGCTGAAAGTTTTAATAGAACCAAGTTTTAATAGAACCAAGGTAGGAGTCTCCCTAGTGTTGGAACAAGTCTCAAAGACTTGACTCAAAGATTACCTGAAGAGGGGCCTGAATTTAATTGGATGAGACTGTGATGCAATTTATAGGATATTGTACCAAAGAGTACAGAAATCAGTTGGAATCATTGGAGGCAGAAGCATGACAGATTAAGAGATAGTCGATGAGTCACCTGCTAAAACAGCATCTTCCCTGTGATAGTGCACCTGCCCAATTCCTCTCTGAGGATTATGAGAGGCTGCATACTATGGAGATAATAGATTTCACTGAAATAGTCCATCCAGGAAACTAAATAAATAAACAAAAATAAGAGAGAATAATGTATCAGTATCTAGAGTTCTCACAACATATTATCTAAAAATATTCCTTTTCAACAAAAATTAATGAGACAGGCAAAGCAATAAGAAAGTATTAACCATCCACAAGAAAAAACAGGTAACAGAAATTACCTTTGAAAGGGCACATATGTTGGATCTAGGAGACAAAGATTTCAAAATACTCATAAAATATTCACAAATCTGAAGGAAACCATGCTTGAGGAAAAAGCAATAGATCAACAGAGATTCAATCTCAAGGACAGAGAAAAAATCATTTAAAAAATGAATAGAAGACTGGGGTTGTGGCACAGTGGTAGAGCACTTGCCTTGCATATGTGAAGCACTGGGTTCCATTCTCAGCACCACATAAAAATAAATAAAATAAAGGTCCAACAACAACTAAAATATTTTTTTAAAAAAATGAATAGAACCTCAGAGAAGTGTAGAACAGGGAAAAACCATGAAGTAAGCTTTACCAATTTTGTAGGCATCCCTCAGTACTGTCAGGTCAACAAGCAAAATTAGCTATTAAATTTTATATTAGTCTGCCATAACAGAATCCCACAGAATAAATGGCATAAGCAACAAGAACTTATTTCCTCTCAGTTTTGGCGTTTCAAAGTCCAAGTTCAAGGATGGCAGAGTTGGATTCTGGTAAGACCTCTCTTCTTGGGTTGCAGATGACTGCCTTCTATGTCCTCACATGGCCTTTTCTCTCAGTCTAGTCCCATACTGGGAATTGAACTCAGTGGTGCTCTATCACTGAGCTACATTTCCTGTCCTTTTTCTTTCTTTTTTTTTTAATTTTGAGACATGGTCTCACTAGCTTGCTAAGGCTGGCCTCAAACTTGCAATCCTTCAGTCTCAAAATCCTGAGTTGCTGGGATTATGTGCCCCCACATAGGATTTTCTGTGTGAGCATCCCTGGTGTCTTCCTCTTCTTATAATGGTACAGGTCATATTGGATTAGGACAATACACCAAAATGGCCATATTTATCTCTTTAAATACCCTACTGCCAAATACAGTCACATTGTCAGTTAGAGCTCAATATATGATTTTTGAGGGAGTGACATAATTCAGTCCATGATAAACACTTAAAGAAAATATAGGAGTAAATCTTTCTGATCTTGAGTTAGGCAAAGTCCTCATAGATATGACACAAAAGCATAAATAGTTAAACTAAAGAAAAAATTGATAAATTGGTATTTGTTGAAATTAAGAACTTTTTATGCTTCAAAGGACTCCTTCAGGAAGTAAAAAATAATAATTCATGACAGGAGAAAATAATTACAAATATATCTGATAAGGTACTTATATCTAGAAGAAAGAACTTGACAACTATTAAAAAGATTAAT